ACAACCTCGCGAGAGTTGGTAGTTTCGTACCGCTCTGCTTGCTTTAGGCCTTAGCTCAACTAGAAGGCTTGGCTGTTGTAACGAAGTAGAACGGCGGTGACCATCCAGCATTCTCTATGGTGTCCTTGACCTGTGCAGGCAGGTGCTCCCATACGGTGCGCAAGGCACGCTGGGCAAGTTCTGCTTCTTTGGCGCCCGGCGAGGCTGGGTCCACTCCCTCCCATCTCGGGCGTTATCTCCTTGGGGCACGGGATTAGGCTTAGTATACTTTGGCCACGTAGCGCCGCATTTGTTGCAAACCTTCGGTCTCTGCTTTGTGGCAAAAGACCCACGAATCTTTGCAGCGCTTGCAGACGAAATATGGCCTGTGATCCTTCCTCATGCTCACGGGGAAACTAACCCAATCGAGGTGTGGCAGTCCACAACGCTCGGGCGGCAACTAAGCAGGGCGTTTTTCCAAGCAAGGCCCTAAAACAAAATTCCCTTTCCAAGAATTCAAGCGAACTGTGCAAGCGAGATTTCCAGGCCGGGTTGTTCAGCTGTTGCAAATGCCCCTTGGCAAGGTGCACAGCTGTGCTATGGCACTACCTGCTGCGCGTCAGCCGGAGCTGAAAGCCGCTACCCCCACGCACCGTGCCCTCAGGGGCAAAGAAAATGCAATGGTTGGGTTTGAGGCTGTTCCGGGGCCCACAGTCTAGTTACGGACTCTAGCCTGAGTGGCCACGACGGCGCTGCGTGCAGCGGTTTGAGCCTTGAGCCAGTGGGTCACGAAAACCAGGTTAACCGCGAACGGAGAGTCCCGCGGCCCGTAGGCCTGTCGTCCATGCACTTAATTAGGCCCGGGCCTGCCATGCTTTACATGGGGAAGCCTTCGGGTCCTTAGGCGGCTCAGAAACACCCTGGGGTCGGGTGAGGGGGAGCTACCTACGTCGTCGCTCCTACCTACGGTCTGCCCTCTACTCGGTGTGGCAACCACAACCCTGCTGAAAAGGCGTGGCAGCCACTGCTCTTTTCTCAAACAGGTAGCAGTGGTGTGGCACCCACGCCAGGAGTAGCAGTGAGGCTGGGGCGAAAAACTGGCGTGTCTCAGGCCAGGCTGTCTCTTGGTTCTTCCCTGGGCGTGGCAGCCACAGCGCCAGGGCACAGGCGTTCAGCAGTAAAAGCGTGGCTGGGGCGAAAACAGTGCTGGCGTGTCTCACTAGGCTGCCTCTTGGGTCACTCCTGGGCGTGGCAACCACAGCACCAGGGCACAGGCTTTCAGCAGCCGCTGAAGACACCGCGCAATCACATGGCAAATGTTGACTTTGCCCCACCCAAAACGCACGCACCGAACGTTGACGGCGTTGACTTTCCAAATCGCAGCTGAAGGCTGAAGAGCAGGGTTGACTTCCAGCAGATGTAGCGAGTCTTTACTTCGCAAGCAAAGCCCAGATTCACATTGGCTTCTTTTTTGCGAAACATGATCATTTAAGATGCAACATCAATCCGAGCGTCCCCGCTTCTCCTACTTGTCCACCCGTTTGCAGGCCTTTCACCACGCCCCATAGGACCACGGCCCGGACGGTGATGTCCTGCTCCAGGCCTATGCTGCCGGTCGCGAAGCTGGCCAGCAGGTGCCGTCTTCGGCACGGATGGTGGTCGTGGCGTTTTCGGATCCCAGGATGGGCTGGGCTGAGTGGGGTTTGTTACAAGAGGTTGCGAATGACCACGGGAGTGAACTGGGTCTGGACCAAATTGAAGATGCCGCTGCCTTCCGGCCCTGGCGTGTTCGGGAAGTACCTGGCATCGAGGGGACCCAGGTCGGAAGGGCTTTGGAGCTGGCAAGAATGGTTGCCGGAGGGCCTTAGACATCAGGGGGCCTCGGCTTGGGAATCATAAGGGCAACAGGACCTGGGACGTGCGCGGACGCATTGCCAGAAAGGTGACCATTCCTGTATCATCTTTAAGTGTGGTGGCGACCATCCGGTTGGCAAGTGTCCTCTGAAGCCCAAAAAGCTGTGACTCGGAGGGTCCGGGGTTGTGCCGGGCCCGGAGACTCAGGACGCCGACATGCAGCCATCAGGGGAACCTGTTCCTGGTTGTTTGGAGGTGTCTGAGGTTTTGACATCGGATGAGCCCATGGCGAGTGAGGGATTGGATCTCGCCGTCGGAGCGGCCGATTTGCGACTTTGATGATGATGCCGGGGCCCAGGCCTCGCACCAAGCTTTTTCCATGGAAGCAGAGCCTTCCGCGCGTATTTCCCTGCCAGGGAAAGCTTTGCCGTCGTCAGGACCTCTGTTGCAGACCTCTGAAGGAGACCCCGATGCGACGAGTCCCGCCGGCCAGCTGGCCGCGGCCCTAATCAAGCAAGGTTATTTTTCTTATGGAGTGGATCGTGTCAAGCACAAGTCTGCTATGGCACCAGTACTGCAGATGGATCTGTCGTCTCGGTCGTCTGCGTGTGACTCCATTCTTACATGGCTTGACAAGCAGAAGGTGGCAGGGGTCATGATCTGTGTTCCCAAACATACTCTGGAGCCCACCACTCTGGCTTTTGTTTATGCTGTCATTGCGGGCTGCATGGAACGCGCCCTGCCCCTAGTTCTTGAAGGAGCTTCGGCGTCTTCATTTTGGAAAGGTGTGGAGCAGCTCCCTGCGGGGCAGCTGCCACCTCACAGAGTTGAGGTCGAGTGGCGTTGTTGGAGTGGTACACACTCTGGCCGGGCCTCGGTTATGTCGAACATGCCTGAGATAATCGCTCTGCGTCGGGACGTGCCCGAGCCTGCGCCTCGGACAGCCGCACTCGGCGCTTCGACTGCAGGTTACCCGGCGGCCTTTGCCAACACCCTAGCTGAGGTCTTTATTGCAGGTCTGACGGCTCGGGGCTTACCGTGCCTCAACCCGGCCAGGATTAACAAAGCCGCTCGGGTGGCGGCGATGCAACAGCCGAGAGGTGCATTGTCGGAAGTTGTACCGGAATGGAAATTGGTGGTGTACGTTCTCCTGCCCCGCTCCGCTGGAGCGGATCCTTTTGCGGGCGCCAAGCGCCTCAAAAAGGCGTGGCCAGTGCCTGAGGATGTTCGAGTTCTGCCCGGCCTCAAAACCCTTCCTGCAGACTCGCAGCTTTTGTCGCGGACTCAGACAGGGGGGAACCTAAGTCCGCAAC